GTCCCAATGGCTTGGGAGTTGATCCCGGCAGAGAGAACAGCCTCTCTATGCGAGAATATACTAGGTCCCCGAGATTGAGGATTTCTGGCTCGTGTTATCAGCGCTCTAATTCGCATGGTATAGCGATCGATATGGGTGCTGTGGCCAAGAAGATCGACCACATCTTTGTCAGCACTCGCTGGAGGATCCTCCAGAACTGCAGGGTTTACCGGAGGGCCAAATTCTGTGGTTCTGACCATAGGCTGGTTGTGGCTACCCTATGGGTCCACTTCAAAATTGTTCGTCCCTCCAGTGACCACTCTATGGTGTTTCACTTAAACAAATTTGAGGGGAGGGAGTGCGCCCGGTGGTTCGCAGCAGTCTCCGATCGGTTCACAGTACCAGGTAGACCCTCATGTAGTTAGTTTGGATACAAGTGGTATCACAATACCCTAACTGAGGTTAGGGAGGTGATCTCTAAGCTGAAGGGTGGGAAAGCTGTATATGTGATATCCCTAATGAACTGCTAAAGACTGGGGCTGAACCTATTGCATGGGGCTTGCATACAGTTTTGACTGTCATCTGGCAGTCTGGTTCCATTCCTCCTGACCTGTTGAGGGCCGTGGTCATCCTTTCTGGAAGGGGAAAGAGGATCGGTGAGACTGTAGCAACTACCGTGGCATCACACTGCTCAGCATACCAGGCAAGGTTTTCGCCCACATCCTTCTGTTACGGATCCGTGATCACCTACTTAGGCACTAAAGACCGGAGCAGTCTGGATTCACTCCTGGCAAGTCCACAATTGACCATATCCTAGCACTTCGAGCCACTGTAAAACGCCATCGTGAGTTCGGTCGGGGGGCTTCTCACAGCCTACATCGATCTCAAGAAGGCGTTTGACTCGGTGCATCGCGAATTGCTGTGGGAGATCCTGAAACTTTGGGGAATTCTGACATGGATTGTTGGCTTAACAGCAAGCCTATAATACTGCTGCAAAGTGTGGTAGGACTGTCGAATTTATTGCCTGTTAACTCAGGGGTGAGGTAACGCAGTGGCCTAGCACCAAAACTGTATGGACTGGACAATGGGCAGAGCTACTATCCAAAGTCATTGTGGAGCAACACTGGGCAATATCAAGGTCACGGACCTCGACTTTGCTGACTACGTGTCTTCAAGGCCTTGATACTGCCAGTTTTTCTGTATGGTAGCGAAACCTGGACGCTAACTAGTGCCTTGGAGTCTTGTCTTGATGCCTTTTGTAAGTTTCTTAAGTTTCTTCGAGGTACAGTTGGCAGGACCATGTGTCCAACCGACTGTTACACCGTGAGACTGGCATGGGACCTGTTACTTGCGTAATTCGGGATCACCAACTCTCTATGGGTACCTAGCTCTTTTCCCTGTGGATGTCCCTGCCCATCGGGTTGTCTCGTAACGAGACAATCCTGGGCCATGCCATGCCATGCGCCCCCGTCCGCATCAGCCCACCTATGATGATGATTGATATATATATATATATATATATATATATATATATATATATATATATATATATATACAGACAAACAGAAACACAGGAGTGTGAGTGTGTATGTGTGTGTGTGTGTGTGTGTGTGTGTGTGTGTGTGTGTGTGTGTGTGTGTGTGTGTGTGTGTGTGTGTGTGCGTGTGCGTGTGTGTGTGTGTGTGTGTGTGTGTGTGTGTGTGTGTGTGTGTGTGTGTGTGTGTGTGTGTGTGTGTGTGTGTGTGTGTGTGTGTGTGTGTGCGTGCGTGTGTGTGTGGAAATGCATGTAAGTAAGTTTCCTTTGAATGCAAAGTACTTCTGTGCGGGAATCCGAATGTAGAATTTATACTTTCGTTATGACAGGTACGACATTGCAGTTCTGCGCCTGAACAGGCCTGTCATCTATCGGGACAACATTTTGCCAATCTGCTTGCCAGATCCAAGTGATGACTTCATTGGTGATATTGGCATTGTTGCAGGGTGGGGCAAGACAGATAATTCTTTCGGTAAGTAACAAGTTTGAATTCACATAACTACAACTCTTGCTGTAGCTAGGTTTCCATCGACAAGAGAGAGCACTGCGACCGTCAGAAAACACCCCCAAAAAACTGACTCACTCGCTCACACTCGCTTGGGAGTAGCAAGGAGGTATCATCGAGGTCGCTTCGGGGTATCATGAGCAGCAACGCGCTCTTTTCCGCTCCTATGCGCTCCCTTGTGGTCGCTATACATCTTGCGACGGCTAGCTTCGGCTAAAAACACTCGCAGATTTGTGCGAGTCGCGCGACTGGATGTGCACTCGCAACGCGTTCGCAATACAGTATTATGATTTGCTGTGCAACGCGGTAGCAAGGTGGTCGCCACGTTGCTACGCGGTAGCATGTTGACTTGCGAGTGCCATCTTGAGGCCAGGATCGAGAGATGCGCGGGCATTGATGTCTGGTCCACTAATAGCCGGTCTCACCCTCTCGAGGATCTCATCAGGCATCCTCATGTAATTCCTCAGTTTCTAGACCAGCCCTTAGTACTGACTGTGGTCAAGTCTCTGCTGTTCAGTGAGCCAAATACGAACCCAGACCTGCGGCTGACGCCTTTCAAGCCTTCTTCACATCATTCTCCGTAGCTCCATTATGTTTCGGAGGACCGCTTCTTGCAGGATAGGTGACGAGGACCTGGAGAAGAACGAGGTATACGTCGTCCATATTGACTGCTTCATTGTGCTATCCCGACTGCAACTCGCAAGCTCTCGCATCGTTTTTTTATTACCTCTAGGCCACATCTCACTCGCTCACACCAGTGACGACTCATGACAGTCATGCGAGTGAGCGTAAAAAATCGCTCACTTACACGACTCTCATGAGGCGCTAGCTGCTCTCTTGTCAATGGAAAACCTACCTTTGATCTAATACGCTGGACAAGTTTTCTCTAGGAATATAAATATCAAACATTTGTGAAATATATATTTTTAAACAATTAATGAAATGAACAACGGTGTATGACTTCTATGTAATCGTTCTATTTCAGGGAAAACAGGTACAAATATTCTACAAAAAGTGATGGTTCCTATTATTAGTAATGATGAATGTCTTCGCTGGCATCATCATAAAGGCATTGATGTCAAGTTATATCAAGAGATGTTTTGTGCTGGGCACTCCGAAGGCAAAATGGATGCCTGTTTGGTAAGAGTCGCTTTGCGTCTGTGTATATACTATCTAATGTTTTGCCCTTTCTTCTTGCCATGTCATGTTGTTTTCCTTTACTACTCATTCAAATGTATGAACACCTCATTTTCTTTCCCCAGGGAGATTCAGGCGGACCGTTGGTTGTCCACCACAACGGGAGATGGGTATTATCAGGGATTACTTCAGCAGGCTTTGGTTGTGCCGTAGACCATCAGCCAGGAATTTATCACAAAGTGTCAGTCACATCAGGCTGGCTAGCTGCAAATGTCAGACCGTAAGAGAAAGTTTAGCAATTGTAAATATAAACTAATGGTCTCATTGGCAATATATGGATATGCCAAATATGTGGATCAAATGTTGTGATCATAGTGCATTACATTCATCGCAGTTGTCCTTAAAGTATTTTTCCAATTTTGTACTGTTAGGATCAATATCTAAATCATATTTCACTCATCAAACAATGCACCATTCAATTCTCCACATTGTATATTTTACTGCAATACAAGAAAACGAATGCCTTGCACACACACACACACACACACATTTTTTTCCAATATTATTATCATTTTTGCCAGCTATTTACCTTCATGCCGATCTTTGTGGCTGTGGCCCTTGCTGCTTTGGATTTAGCCAGACGTGGCCAACTATCTAAATTTCTCCCAATTTTCTCATTACTATTGGAGTTCTGCTTGATACAGACGACTGATGCCTTGAGATCTATGACTTTATGTGGATCAGCATAATTCTCACGAGGATTCAGGTTATATGTAAGATGCGAGGGTAAACGCATATAGTGTGATAGAGATCTGGATTTATTTACAGTTTATGGGGAAAGCCCTCGAGACAGCAAGTCTGTTCAGATCTTTTAGCTGGCTCTAACTGAAGTGATGTAATGGCTGAGTTTATAAGAATAATTTGGACAGGATAGTTTGTATTTGTTCGTACGTGTTCTTTAAAATACTTATATGGATTTCTGTATGTTCGTCTTTGTCATGCTTCCATACATGAATTTCAGTTTTATTGTTTCTCTAGGTTTTACCCTAGTAAAAATGGTCCATATTTAATTTCTTAAATCTGATATTTTAAATTCACTGCTATACACTTAATAATCCCACCACTGACTGTTAAATACTCTTGGAAGATTTAATGCAGTTTGTCACTGACTACAGACTCAGCTATTTAATTATTTTCATCACATGCCAATTAATGTCAAAGAAAGTTCACCGAACTTTCACCTTACACGTAAATATACATGTAGTAATGCATGTGTAAATAATGCCTCCGTACATCTTTTGATATTCCCCAAACTCTACCATACAGAATCATTTGTCAGTCAGTCCAGTTAAAAGATACTTTTCCCCATAGAAATATTCCGGATTTCCATTCATCTCGGTATTAAATGGATTCCCAAGTGCATAAAATGTAAGACGTGGAACAAGATTAACTTACTACTTACCTTAATTTTGTTAAAGCAACATACCTCAGCATTTTAGCCAATCATGGAAAATTATTTAACATTCATTAAAAATTGTGCAGCTGTAACCCACACACTGAGTCAGTGTGGAAGAAAATTACGTCTTAATTATAAAGAAATAAAATGCAACCTATGGTCTGCATATTACATATTTTATTTTCTATCTTCAGCACACTGATTTGTCACTAGGTGTAAGCTGGCCATATCTATACTTTACTTTTGTACATATTTCAATTTGTCAATATGAAATAACTGATATTGCTTATATCAAAGCAACTAACAAATCTCCAAAGTCAGCATGTCACCACCTCAGCAATGGAATAGCAAACAATAGTCATCACAAAAATGATGGCTTGGAATCGTTCCGCTCTGTACTTTAACCCATTGGCATCGACAACATATGCTATCTACTGCCATTTTGTTATGACTACTCGTTTGCAGAGACATGGCTTCACAAACGTTTAGTCACCAAAGTTTTTTACTAGGTCTATTTGCTCTTACCAGCTTGCCCCATTCTTTGAATTATTATTATTATCATTTTTATTTTCATTATTATTGTTGTTGTCATTAATTCTATTATCATTATTATTATTGTTTTAATTATTATTATTATTATTTTGATTATCATAACTGTAATAATAATAATAGTAATAAAGTTTTAAAATATTTAAGGACTGGGGAAAGTAGCTGGTCAGGTATGCTCAGTAATCCATTCCTTTGCAACTCTGCTCTTTTGGAATAATCTGTGTAAGACTAATAAAACAAAACCAGTCATCAGAGCATGCATCCATATGCTCTTTCGCCACAGATCAAGACTTGGACAAATTATGACTCATTATAGTCCTTAATTTGCTGTCAAGTTTTGAATTCTCTCTCACATTTGTGTGCTTCACTTGAACTGATCTTTTGTCGTTCCACATGCTGTTTGTTTCCCATTAATGAGCTTATTTGCTTCCTCCACAGTGCTAAAGATCTACGAAGTGTACAAATTGTTGATTCTGATTGTGTATTATATACAAATTATCACCTTTTTTTATAAAACATAAGTTTGAGATGTATATAATATTTATTTTTCTAGCATTTAGTGCAAGGAATAAAATTACCCTTGAAATTGCCTTTACTTTTATTTTCTCCATAACTAGCAAGCACTAAATGTGAAGCTTTATGGAATACCATTCCGTTTACAAATTTTCGCTAAATAAAGTTTCATATTACTGATTTTTGAAGTTGGGGGTTAAAGAAAAGATGTTTTACTTTGAGATAATGTTGTATTTACAGTACAGGGGATGGAGGGGGGGAAGAGGGAAGGTCGTCAGAGGATGCACTTGGCACTCCACTGAAGCTGCGAATGTTTAAGGTTGTTTGCTGAGGACTTGTTGTAGCCATGGCGCCAATGTGAAGATCAAGAGTGAAACATAATGGAAATGACCCCTTATTTGTGAATGCAGATAGAAGTAGAGCATACAAGTAAATAAATGGTATTAAGTTAAACACTGATTTGGGTTAATTTCAAAATTCTTAGACTCCTGCCAAGATCTCTTCATTTCAACCAAATGCATAAAACCTGCATAAGGTCTAAGAAAAAAAAAAAAATAAATAAATAAATAAAAATAAATAAATAAAAAAAGATATTTCCTTTATCTCTATTTGCTTCTTGCCTTACAAGCAGTGTGGAATGATTATGAAGGAAGAAATTCCTAGTTAATATATCGACTAATAATTAATTAAAAACAAAACTCATAACAAGAAAATTAATAGTAATTGCTTCTGATATCAATGAGTAAACATAATATGTACGCATAGCAACTAAAAACGGGTTTTCTATAAGGCTAACTTCATTTTCTCCTAAAACTGTTACATGTATGCACACACAAATTTTCTGATTACCATTTTGTACCAGTTGTTAGTGAACTTCAGAAACAGCACCTATTTGAATGATAAGCAAGGTGCTTCTCCCTTTCATGTTTTTTTTTTTATCAGAGCTCTCAGCAAGACTTAATTATTCTCCTGTAATGTACTGGTCACATATATAATAAAGTTCTTCACACTGCCCTGATTACACTGAATTAAACGAGATAAAAAACGTACAAATTATAAAATCAATACTATTGCATAGCATAGTATGAAATAGCTTAATTTTCTATTGTTCCTCACTTAAATTTTCATTACACTGACTATGGAGACCATACAAATTTCAGTTAAAAGTCGTTACTTTTTCATTCATTTACATTACCAACCAACTGTGAGAATCAAGCTAAAAGGGTAAATAGCATAAGTCTCTTTTAGACATCTTGACAACCCTTGTATGAAGATTTGGAATAATGCTCATAGCAATATATTAAGGAAATTACAGGATATGAGAAGGAGCTTGTGGAGAACTGTTTTAATAGAATCATGAATAATAAATTAATATACTGTACAGTGCACATATCCTGTGCTAAAAACTGAATGCACTAAATTAAAAAGCATAATAAAAATTGAAAACAAAGCTCCCACTGCAGCAAGCTACATATTTACAGACATCAACTTACATACAATCAATGCAGAGTTGAAGATGAGATGAGTAATTAAAATAAAATTATAAAAGTACAATGGCACCATGACTAAAACAAAGGAAAGTACTTCTTAGATCAGAGGTATTACAGATAAATAGGTCATTGACAAAATATGTTAACAATAATTTGTAAAACTCACACTTGTAACAACGACATGATAACCGTTCTTTCTCTTGTCCTAGGATTCAGTGCTTTTTCGAACCGTTTCAAATCGCAACAGCAATATCTATTCACATATCTTACACCCTAACCACTCACCATAAATATAATGCTTAGTCCTCAATACATTAAGTAGGTCATTACTCTAAAATATCTGCTACATTTTTATCAGCCAGAGAATCTATATTGCATGACTCCAGCATTTAAGAAGTTTTGATTACATTACATTAACTTTATATCAAGGTATTCAAAGCCATCTCAAGTAACTTGAACTGAAGTCAGAACATTATATCTTCAGTGAATGGGGTGTGTATATATATATATAATATTTTTTTCATATACTGACATCATCAGCCTTACAAAAGTGCCTCAAATAAAAAATAATTTTCCCACTCTTAAATAAGAAAATTAATCTTCACTTAAGACTATGTAAGGCTCAAGATAACTAATATTGCTGTTTTCAATACAACAATACTACATTGGGGCCAATACACTAACTCTGAAGTAATCAGAGATCACTGGCTGTTGTCTGTATCTATTGTTCAAGTCATGACCAAGACTGTATCTTGCTTTTTATGTGTATCAACTTGTCCTAAGGTTTCTAAAGGGTCATCAGTCAACAATGTTGCCTATGGCTGAGACACAGGGAGGACATAACCTTAAAAACCTATCAACATTTCATCCATACTATGATACCATAAACAGTTCATGTAACAAAAAGTGACCAGACATTCATCTCTTCAACTGAAATCATGAACACATTATACATCATTCAGTGGGACAGTAGTTAAGTGGTTGTTCGCCAGTTTGAGGATTCTCTGTAAGGCTCATATTCTTGTAACTTTACCTGTGGAGAACATAAGTTAAAAACCCTTAAACTGGTGAAGTCCAAAGCAAGCTAACTCTGCCACTCAATTACGAACAACCAGGGAAGGATCATAGAGATAAGACTATGCCCATGTACACAAATGATACAACTGACTCATGTTCTTTTTGCTTAACTTTGATAAATTTTACTACTACATCCTTTGCACAATATTATCCATCTAAGATATCAAGAACCTAAGAATTCTATCATTCTTGGACATGGCCTAAAGCACTAGTTCTAAACAAAGTATGAGATTACAGCATCAACATCTGTGACATAATCAGCAAATTTCAACCATAAATAGCATTCTCTTAGGGCCCACTTATGATCATATTTAAGACAGATTATGAACCCTACTTAAGAATTCTGTTAGGGAGGAAATAGCTGGGTCTGTCACTTTAACGACTTTGGTTTCTCATTCGTGCCTCAGCATCAGTTTCTGAGGCTTAGCTCAAGCAATATCTGAAGGAGGAAGTCTTCTCCTGAGAGTTCATTATCAAATAAATCATATGGTTCTATGCACCATTAATCAATCGGCACTTTTAGACATATCCTCTATAATAACGATAATAATCCTTTCAGTTAAGTCCACATGGCAAGGCTGGAATTCTACTTTCCATATACACAAACCAACATACTGATCAGACATCAACTACTGGTGTTCATCATAAGAGAATAAAGTATTGTCAATTTGTCATTACCAATGTGAACTTTCACAAGGGAATATATTTATGTAATTCATCACTTGCAATTCATATCAGAAATGCAATGCTGGATTTCTCAAAAGTTCCATGAGATTGCTGGTAATATTAGGCTCTTACTGGTATATTTCTTGGGAAAACATTCATATCTTATTAAAAACATACTAAAAGGTTGAAGATTACTAATCTAAATCAGCACAGTCTAACATGTATTCAGAAAATAACATTGAACACTTCCTCCTGTGTATCTATAACAACATCTACAGAATGGATTCTTACAAATGTTTGTAGAATAACTGATGGAAATATGAAAATAATATGAGGGAAAACTGTAAATTCTAAAGCAAAGAAACCTAGACATCTCTCATCCTCCTTTTCCCCAGACATTGCATACCTAATATAAACTGTTGATACACTTTTTCTTTTGTACAAGGTCAATGATGAAGGTCCTTATCAGCTGATATCACTCCTGAGTCAAATGGGCTTAGATAAGGAAATTATCTGATAACACTTTAAAAATCATTGTATATATGAACCAGCAATTCAGCCTGGGACTGGATAACAGCTGATCACCCAACCAGTACTGGCTGATACATGTTCTCCTCTCCATGCTGTAGTAAAGGCATAAAACTTTGTTATAATACAATTAAAAGTTTCTAAAGTACAAGTTTCACCACGTGAGATATATGAGCATAATATCTCTTGAATAATATCTTCAAAAATCCAGAAGTTCACTGAGAGTTAAATAGGCAATCAGCCCATAATTGGGAAAGTCATCAGCCCACTTGGGAGACCTTCCCATCTTTTTCAAGGTATATAATTTGTGGGAGATATGATTTACTTGGATATACCAAGCTTGAGGGACTGAATTAGCAACATCTTTTTTCAAGCTTCAGTAATAGTTCTGATAATGGAAATAACACCTGTCCATCATGCAACAAATTATTCTAGCATCATAAGGCCCAGAGAGGGCTTTCTTTATAGCTTGTCCTTACATGTGACCCATATCTTTGGACCAGCATGGTGGTGAATCAGATCCTTCACACGTGCATACACTTCCTCAGGAGTGTCTCCCGTAACAATGGCCGTGAAATATTCTCCAAAGTCTACTTCTACTTTCAGAGCACGCTCATATGTCTTACGAGCTTGATCATCTGTCATCCGTTTATTCCATTCCCTGAGGAAAAAGAAGAATCAAGGGTGTGATTATCTTGAATTATCTATGTATATAATTTTTCATTCATATAAACAAGAGTGAATTAATGAAATTGCCTGAACAAACCCAAACATAATTAAATACTTTTCATGGCTCATAATAAGATCTAAAGAGAGAAGAAGAGAAGATGATGAACATAAAGAAGAAAAGGCTTGTATATATGACAAATGAAAGTCACTTGAATTTGTTTACTAAAAGATATCCTACAATTATATGAAAAACAAAGAAGGCCCACTCACATAATTTGTTCAGCAGACTTTGGTTTGATGAAGATGGCAATAGGATAGAGTTGTGCAACTTGCAGTCTCTTAATAGCATTCCCACTTACATCTAAGATGCAATGCTTGCCCTGTAATGAAATATTGTATATATAGAAATGATATGTAAGCTTATATGCCTTAATATATGAACACATGTGCAAGCACGTGTGCGCACACACACACACGTATATGTATATATGTATGTATGTATACACACACACACACACACACACGTATATGTATGTATGTATATATGTATGTATATATATATGTATGTATGTATGTATGTATGTATGTATGTGTATGTATGTATATATATATATGAAAATACAAATATACAAATACAAATACACACACACACACATATACATATGATCATATATATATATATATATATATATATATATATATATATATATATATATATATATATATATGAACATTTTAGTATCCATATGGTGTCCTGGGGCTGGATTCACTAACGCAATTGCAATGGTAAAATCACTGGTAACTACAGTAACCGTTGTAAACAGACAGTGGTAGTATTCACAAACAACTTGCCATCGGAGTTACATTGGCAAATTTTACCACTTGTTGGAGCACTGGTAAGTCTGCAGGTAACTTCGCAGACAACGATGTAATCATGTGTCATCTCATCCAAAAATTCAATGTTTTAACCACTTACTGACGGGTGAAGAAAATTTTTGAAACTCTATGCTCTGGATATCAATAGCAACAAGCTGATGTTGAGCTTGGGAGTTTAGCACATCAAGCTGAACTCCTGGCTCGTAGTGCCTTGGCGCATCGCCGCGGCGTTCAGCCGCACTCCACAGATTGAACAGTTTGTTATGATGCCTCAGCGCGTGGCCCGTCGGTAAAGGGTTAATAACTGTTATGATTGCAATGAGCACAGATCACAAGGTTATGATGTAGTAATGTAAATTTCACATAAAACGAGCAAGAATAATGTCCACATGAATTTTCTTAAAAAATTATAGTTAGACATAGGTCTATGTACAAAATGTATATGGAATCGATAGATCATTAAACTCCTAAAGCATCTTTCTCTAACATTATTATTACAAATTCTAATGAAAAACATATTGATACATAAACTAGCAATAGAAATGTTAAATGAGTATAGCAGCTTCTGTGTCTGTCAGCATTGTGGCAAAGGGCAACAAACTCTTAATTGTGTTGGGCAAAAAAGAGCATAGATTATTTCCTTCGTTTGATGATAAATGGAAATAAATAAATATGTGTTTGATTCTGTTGCATGTTTGAGAATGAAGGGAAATTAGTTAATAAATAAATATAAACTGTGTTAGGATCGATTCTTTGGTTGACAGTAAACAATAATATATTAACACAGTACACATATGAAAGTGTTCACACTGGTTCTTATTTTGACTATGAATAGCCAGGCAGTATTTTAACTCCTTATGGACAGATCACTTGTACAGCCGTTGTAAGAAGCTGTGTGGTCTGTGACGTGCTAGAGCGGGAAGTTCCGCTACATGTAGTGTACTCCCTTGCCCAGTGACTGGACAATGCCAGAAATCAACAGAGTTTCTGATGTCGCGAGATTTCTGATACCCATCATTATGATGTTTAAATTAACCCCTTCACGATGGGTGACACCGGTAGGCTTGAAAACAAACTGCTTGAAAAGTGGCCTGCGGCTGTATGCCGTGGCGGCACACCAAAGCGTGGTGAGCCGGTGATTCGGCCTGATGTTCCGTACTCCTACGCTCAAAGTCGACGCACTGCCATGGTTTGCCAGAGCATAGAGTTTTTTTTTGTTTGTTTTCTTCACCCATCACCATTGGGTTAAACAAATTTTTACTTCTAGTTCTAGCAGGAACCATAAAAAAACTGCTGTTGCATCAGGTTCTTTTATACATATTATGTGATTGTCCAAAGGAACCAAAAGAATTATGTATGACGCTCACTGATTGGTGGAGCCATCTGTTGGCTGCCGTTAACACAAGTTGATTTATAACTATAACTGCTGAGGTGAGTTTCCATGTCTTCGTGAATGCCATTATACCATCGCTGGTAAACAATACGGTAACTGACTGCAAATGCATTACGATTGTATGTTATTGAATCTGGCCCCTGTAACAAAGCCTATGCCGTTACTAAAGGCTGATTGTGTATATATAGGAATGTCTATGATCAATATAAATATGGCCATAATTCAAAAATAGTATTTCATACATCTTACTGAAATCTGTTAATAGAACTTACCTTCTCCGCCACCTCTCTGACTGAAGCAACAGAGGTACCATACAGATTGTCATTATATTGCCCAGCTTCAATAAAGAGGTGGTTCTGTATGTCTCTCTCCATCTGCTCCCTGGAAGCTACAAAGTGGTAGTCCCGTCCATCAACTTCATATTCTCGCCGAGGTCGAGTAGTGTCTGAGATGTTTATGATCATTATTAATAGTTATCCTTTTCTGATGCTGATTATCATTATCATAAGTTTACACCGGATAGCAATGTTTGTCTAATCAAAATAGTTGATAATGAAAACGAATAATCTGTATTTGTGAAATTCTCTAAATATAAAGAAAGGGATAATGCAAGGAAAATACTATACAAAACAAAACCATCCCCATCAATCAAGCCTGCTACATTCCCTTCTTCCAATTTTTCACTGACACAGATGGAGACAGGATGTACAAAGTGTTAGCAACTTTAAGAATGATCTGAAGAATAAAATTAATATGGTCTGTTTGCCCTTTCACTCTTATGTATTAGTATGTTCCACTCCAATTTTCAGTCTATTTGAAACTTTAGAACCTAAGGCACTTAAAATAAAAGGTAGCATGCATCACTTTGTCTTAAAGAAAATCCTGGTTGGCAACTGACAGGATAAGCCATGCCCACTAGATTTCATTTACTTCAAGCACTAATAGGGTTTCTCTATTTTTCTGTCTTCACATTATTTTTTTCTGATGTAAGTTTTTAAATAACTGTCAAAGAAATATATTGAACCACTTGTAACAAGATTTACAGGTGTGTTAAAAGGGCAGAGCTCAAAGACATTATTGCCATTAGCTAATGAGGATGTGCTGTGAGTTGCCAGAAATGGCCAGGTAGATAACTATTTGAATAGCTTACTCAATGTTGTAAATACCATAGGTGGGGGGGGGGGGCATAAGATAAGTATCTATAAGAATACACCAGAGGAAAAATCAATTTCATTTTTAGGTTCAACAGGCTAAATGGAGGTAGTGCAATCTTATTAGAACTAATATATAAAAAAAAAAAATTCACCCCTAATACTGAATATTTGATGCCATGTTTTGCAAAACATTATTTAAATAGTATTAGGTGTAGAGAGGTGTTTTAGGTCTCAAGAAAGGTAAAATTTGTATTGGGAGTAATGTTCAAATATATGCTGCTTTTACCTCACCGCTATCTAAAAGTCCACTTCTAATCTATAATTTCTGTATCCAAAGAATGCATTTTGCTCAAGTTGTAGAGACTACAATACAACTTTCACAGCATGCTTATTTCTTGAAAACTTGATCCAGATAATGTGACAATCACATTAAAAAATTTGGCTTCAGGTTGGCTAAGTGCCGGGGTGATGGGAAGCTGACGTCATGAGAATTTCAGTTGAAGGCCAGGGTGATGGGAATGACTCACCACAAGTGCACAAAGCTCTTGTATGATGATTAGACTCAGTGGGCATTTAGGAAGGGGCTTTTGCATTATCTTCATCAATAAATGAGTATGGAATACACCATCAGTGAGTCAGCCTCAGGGAGGGCACTATTTCCATGGTCAGGATCCTCTTCTAGCTGGCTATATATATAAAATGGTCTACTACTATCTGGATATAGCAAATCAAATGACGAATATAGACAATGGAAATTGGCAAACAAGCTAAAAATGCCTATGCAGAAAAAGAGAAAACAGCATTGCAAAAGGGAGGCATAGAGTCCTGTCAAGGCTGGCCTACAACACACACCCATCAGAGTGGTCACTCAAGTAAATCTAATGCCTGTATTTTGGGCCATGTGTGGGCAGTGAAGCATCCGGATCCTAGGGGTTAAGGAAACTTGTTTTCTGAGATTTCTGTTTTCTGTGCTTGAGTACCGACACTCCCTTTCTGCTAACTTATCTACTATACAAACATCTAAAAACACCTGCAAAACCCTAAAATGAAAAATTTTATATATATATATATATATATATATATATATATATATATATATTTGAATATATATATATATATATATATATATATATATATATATATATATATATATATATATATATATATATATATATATATTCAAATATATATATATATATATATATATATATTCAAATATATATATATATATATATATATATATATATATATATATATAATATATATATATATATATATATATATATATATATATATATATATATATATATATATATATATATATTTGAATATATATATATATATATATATATATATATATATATATATATATATATATATATATATATATATATATATATATACATACACCAGATAAACAGGCAAGATACGTAGGACTATTTTTCTGGTGACTAAACACTTGTGGAGCCATCTAAGTGTAAAAACAATTAGTGAACTAAAATTACACTGGAAATGGCATGTATGTTGTGCCATCTGTGAAAAGTGGGTTAAGGCAATAATAGATGAGAGCCAGTGATTCAAAGAATCAAAATACATAGATAAGTTTATAGTATAATCATTTCCAAATAATAAAGCACAAGCACAAATCTTACGTGGAACACAGCTGCCATATTTGTCTGGGAATTCTGATATGAGGTCATCGTTGATTCTGTCCTTCAAGGGTCCCAGGAGCACCACAGGTCGCGTATAAGTGATCTCTATTTGTTGTACGCCCTCATAACTCAGGATGATGTAGTCGTCTCCCCCTGAAAATCCAATTTCTGTCTCATTAGGGTAGCAACTACAAGACTACCTAGCTGATTTTCTAACTAAAATAAAATAAAAATGGCAAGGAAAAGATAAAAAGAAATGAAAAGGAAACATTCAAATAAAGAAAAAATATGAATGTTCATATATTTACAAAGTATATATGTGTGAGTCTGTGCTTGCACATCTGTTTAGTTTAGCCACAAATGCATGTATATGTCTGTAAGTGATTCCGTAGGGTTACACAGGAGATGAGATATCCCAACCAGAGAATGGAACAGAGGATATGGCTGATGTAACCACGTGTTACAAAAAGAATGTGTATCTCTTGTAAAGAAAGTGATTGTAATTCTTAGCACAGTATGTGCTAAGAATTACATATGTAACTTATAATATATATCCTGATTGTATATGTAACTTATAATATATATCCTGATTGTATATGTAACTTATAATATATATCCTGATTGTCACAACAATCAGGATATATATATATTATATGTTCTATGCTATGTTACTGATGTATTATATTGCACTTTCCAAAATAACTTTATGTGGACTTTTCCTACTTCCCTACATATTACATATAAGCCTATCAAAAACCAGTCTGCTCTATCCACAAATTACTTAAACAGATATGTCAGCTGAAGTACAGTAAATAGTATTTTTCCTACTTAGTCAATACAGGGACACTAAAGTATCCTAATATGGCTTTACTAAATATTGTGAGTGAGTGAGTAAGTGTGTTTATGTGTGCTCTTACCTAGTTGTTTCAATGCAGAAGAGCTTTAAGCTCAGATGGTCCCATCTGCTATATTCAAATTATTATATAACTTTTAAAACTAAAGCAAATTTTGATACAAAATGTTATTTGGAAGATTGTTCCACATTTCAATAGTTCAGTTTGAGAAACTGAATATTTTGACATCTTCCTTGCCTCTTTTTACTTTCAACACTTTACTGTGTCCTCTATCCTCCTTGTGTTCAAAATTATAGTCATCTCTGTCTAACTTCACTCTTCCTGGAATATAGTTGAACATGTCACCCCTTTTCCTTCTTTCTTCCAAAGTAATAAGTCCTATTTTCTGTAGTCTATCTTTGTCCTTTTTTAAATGTGGACTCTATACTCTAGTCTCATGATCTTATATCTTCATCTACATTCATGAATGTCCTCTTCATGTTGGCAATCAGCCCTAGCATTTTATGGACCTTTTCATTTACATGATCATCTGGGTTTAATAATGCATCTCACAATTTGCAATGATATAGTGGGAGATTTTTTTCTTTCTCCGAACCTGAATGCATGGCATTTACTGCTGTTGAATTCCATTTTTTCAAGTACACCTCCACATGAATAAATTTCTCTATGTCACTTTGGAGGCAATGGCATGAGATGTTGTCTACCATCCTTTTCTGTAATTTTGCAGTCTACACATACATATGGGCTTATGTTTGACCCTAAATCACTGATGACAATGGTAAACACAATTGGCACCAAGACTGATTCTTGAAGTACTTCCCCGGTTAATTATCGCCATGTAGAGTGCTTCTCTCTGAATATGGTGCTCATATATCTTTCAATTATTTGAGAAACTTGCCTTTCACTCCATCTAGGTGTTCTAATTTCCATAAAAGTCTGCTCTGAGATACTTAATCAAATGACTCTTTAAAATCTAAGCATACACAATCAGCCCAGCTGTATCTTTCAATGTAACATTTTATAAACTGATTTGCTACACAGAGTTTCTTATTTTCTTCATGGGTGGCAAGGACTCAGTCTTTCTGTATTACATTAGTTATCATTTGCATATTCACGAACGTCCCTTTCAAGGGGTATTTCTTTTAAAATAATTTCAACCTCCTATGAGCTTGATATTCTGCTCCAAGAATTTGGGATTTATGACCTTGACAATATTGACAATCAATTTCATGTCTACCTTGTATTGATTGATTCCATCTTCTACAAACTTCTTCATGTCCCAATATGACTATGTTCTTATTTATATCAGCCAAATTAGAATTATTCCTTGCAAGTTGCCCAAGGTGTGACTTAAATTCACTTTTCTTTACCATCTCTGCAAGCTGTGCCTTTATTTCTTTCTTTGTGATCTTGATTTTCTTTTTTTTTTTTTCATGTCAATATTTTCCATTTTACTTTTGATACATCGGCATATGTGGCTGTCTACTTTTTTTCCTTTACTTTTGATACATCGGCATATGTGCCTGTCAACTTTTTTCCTTTACTTTTGATACATTGACATATGTAGCTATCAACTTTTTGCCCCATCCATTATTTGAGACTGGCTGCTTGACAAATTGCTTTCAATCTGTTTAACAGTTTCCAGTACTTCATCAACTTTTCTTGTAGATTCTTTGCTTTGACTTGATAACTGTTGCCAATCTTGGTTTTTAATTCTTCCACTTTTTCCTTGAGGTCTTTGATTTTCATGGCATATTTTTCAGTATTCTCTTTCTGAATGGTTGTGTTTTATCCACCAATTCCTTCATATTTACATTTCCTTCACATATTTTCAAACATTCTTCTATCAGGCTGCCTACCTTGGTTTCAAATGCTTCAGTTCTAGCTGTTGATTCTGGTAACTTCATATTCCTGGTCTGATCTTAGTCGTTATCCATTAAACAAATACAAATTAAGGTTTGTACTCACGGTAATTGTCTCAATCAGGATTCATGGTTACTTCTTGGCCCCTTACCTTAACTCTCACATCCCAAGTCACATAGAGTCAATACCTTTTCCAATTTTTCACTTATTTGTTCACTTTACAACTCAAATAAATAATTTCAACTTCAATCTATTTATAGAATCCACGGCAAGCAGATTAGACCACCCATCGCCCGATCTTCTCAGAATTGAACATCATGTAAGAGCTGAACTTCACTGATGTGATGTACTGCACTCTCTGCCTGTGTGTGTGCGTGTGTGAGTGAGTGAGTGAATATGTGTGTATGTGTATGTGTATGTGTGTGTGTGTGTGTGTGTGTGCGTGTGTATAAATGTATATATATTTATATGTATATATGTATGAATATGAATATATATAATATATATATATATATATATATATATATATATATATATATATATATATATATATATATATATATATATATATATACATATATGTATATATATATATATATATATATATATATATATATATATATATATATATATATATATACATATATGTATATATATTATATATATATATATATATATATATATATATATATATATATATATATATATATACATATATGTATATATATATATATATATATATATATATATATATATATATATATATATATATATATATATATATATATATATATATATATATATATATATATACGTATAAGTATATGTATGTATATGTACGTATATGTACGTATATGTACGTATATGTATATGTATGTATATGTATCTCTACATATATATGTGTGTGTATGTATGTGTGTGTGTGTGTGTGTATATATGTATATGTATATATATGTATATATGTATATGTATATGTATATATATATATATATATATATATATATATATATATATATATATATATATATATATATATATTCAGTAAGATAATAACGAAGTGGGTCAGTAAATGAGAAAGTAAGAGAGAATGATAAAGAAAGTTCTTTTTACCACATTTAATCATAGCAAATGAAACTCTTTCTGAAACCATTTTATGTCATACTACACCATAAAAATACCCCCATATTCAAATAACACGAGCATAAGGATAAAATAATAATAATAATAGTAATAATACCGAATCAATGAATCATACATGACAAGGATTTAATCGCATATAGAATAGTAAATATCCTTTAGATATCTGTAATCCAGTAACAATAAACTCTTCAGGGTAATAATACTGATAGATACACACATATATACATGTATATATAAAATATACATAAGAAGAAATGTGTTTAGAATTTACATTTTGCTTTTACATATGCATTTAGTTGCCCTTAGATAGTACCTATACACATCAAGCTCTGCCTCCCTGAAAATGATGCATTTTTCAAAAAATTGGAGTTGATGTCAGTTGAATATGGTTACCACAGCACAACAACATGCTAGAGAAATTACCATATCCAGCAAACACTTTCATACATTTGAAGTTCTAGTAAAACCATAACCAAAGACCTGAAGACAAAAATTACTTGATCATTTAAAGCTTCTGACATAGCTCCTGTATCTACATGGTTCATTTACTGAAGTATGAAAGATTTGCTGGATGCTGGCCAAAGATCACCTTGTAATACAACATCTGGGCAAGCCTAAGGTAGCGGGAAAGGGTAATACTCACGCATGCTTCGGCTATCACTCTCTCCGTCATTTGTTGCTATGGAGGCTGTAAAGAGAGACACACCATCAACAAGGCAGACTCTGCTAGGCAACACCATGCAATATGAGCAAGCTCTTAGATGTGTTACCTCCTTTATCCAGTGACCCTTGAATGATGGTTCAAATAGTATTTAGGGAAGAAACAATTAAGTTCCCAGGAGTTTATGGATTTTATTTAATGAAAAAGTCATCAGATGTTTTACTTGTCTACACCTTAGTAATCACCAGATATTAGTCCATTATTCTTCATACTTGTTTAATCACATGCCACCGGGGAAAATGAATAAAAAATGGGGAAATGCTGTGCTCATTTTTTATATTTTTGTGAAATGTCTCTGCACATAGATGGCCCTGCTAGAGCTTAACCACAAAGGAGTCAATTAATAGACTTTGTGACCTTACCTGATTTCACCTTTCCTTGAATGGGTGTGAAAAACATATATTGATGGTATTATTTTTATTATAAACATTATAATTACTATAATGTTATAAACATTAGTAACAGCAAAATAAGATAATGGAAAATATCTATGTAAATCAAGGAAAAGGGTAAATGGGCAAGACAGCCAGTACTCGTAATTGGCTAATTAGTGACTTAGTACAAATGTAGCCATCTATGTGTAAAAACAATTAATAAAGTAAACTCGCATTGGGCATGGCATGTACGTACATGCCATGCCCATTGGCACTGGGTTAACTGGAGCCTAAATTTACTTCACAGACTGCAAATTTAAAAAAGCCTTGAAAAGGAGAATTTCCTGTTTCTTTTCACCCAAACTTGTATCATATCCCCTGAAACCTGATCATTCAAGTGTATGAACAAAATCATATAGATCTTCGTAAATACCTTTATAGAATAGTTGAAAATACAGAATCAAACAGGATCTCACTGACCCAACTTGCATTTTAAGTCTGGCAATAAGTATCATTTTCTGTAAATCTTATATAAAGAAACAGAAAAAGAAAAAGAAAAAAAGAAAAGAAGAAGAAAAAAATATATGGTCAATCATCTTCAGAACTTTCTCTATCCGTATCTCCTACTAAACATACTTTGATTTCTAGTAACACTTTATAATTTTTCAATAACTGAAAATCACATCAACATGATTATAAAAGGGATAGCATTGCAATGGCCATGCAAGTTTTGGAATTTATTTAATCAAGCACTAAAACTGGAGGGGTTGAAACCATTACCACTGACACAATCTGTAACAGAGTAGTGTATCTGCAACTGATAACAAGTTATCTTCAAAAATCAATTTCTGATTAGACCATAACATATCAATTCCTTATAAAATGAAAATCTTCCCAGAGTTTATTTCTATCTATTCACATAATTTCAAAATCATATATATATCCTGAATCATGTATATTACACTAATGTTGGGACACACTAGCTGAAGAAATGAACATATCAAATGCCTGGTCTAAGCAATCTTAACAAATACAAGAATTCTTTACACAATTCATGGCTGGTAATGCTGATGACATTACTTAACACTATCATGTCAACAAGGGAACTTCTGGATAAAGGAGGGAACGATGCTGAATCAAATAAAAACATATTTTTATACTATGCCTGAATGATCATGCACTAATATACACAAAATCAGAATTCATATACAAAACATAACAGAGGCTTATTTGAACTTAAATCAATATGTACAAGATACTACAAACAACAACAGTCAAAACAACAAAGGAACAAAGAAAACATCTTGTACTTGCCTCTTCAATCACATATCATGGCAGGCCATCACTAAGTGGCTTACAAACTTTTGGTCTTTTGGCATTAACAGGTACAATTTCAAGTCTGATAAATGCAGACAGAAGTGTTCATGCATGATTTTGTGTCAGCTAATTAAAATGTATATGTGAATATAAAGAACAATGAATGTCTAAACATATCCTAGGCAATGTGTTCATCATTTAAAATGCATATAATCAATCCTGCATTACCAAGCAAGCACATCAGATTTCCTGGCAGTTTACTAGAGTTTGCTAATTTCATTAGAAAAGAATTAAAACATTAACATAGCTATTTACCCTAAGAAGTTTCTCTACTACCATTACTTTGATGGAAAAAAAACTTTAATTTCAGAGACCAAACAGGAAAGATTTTGATAGACTTAAAAGATATAATTATTGACATACAGAAGGTTCCTAAATTGAAGAGTAAAAATAATAATAATTATAAAGAAAAGACAAAATCTTACCTTCAAAGTCCTCATCGACTTTAGGAAATGATGTAAAGAGATCAAGTGTTATTCTTTACACACACAAAAATCAAACAAGAAAAAAAGAGAATAAAAGGAAAGAAAAGGGAAAGGAGAAAAGGAAAAAATAAATATGAATAAAATGGTCCTTTTCGAATCTTGCATCAGTTACCTGCATTTTGTAATGAAGAGATTCATCCTTCACCCCCCCCCCCCCCAAACTACTACCCGACTACTACCCACCCACCCACACCCACACACATACCCACACACCCACCCACACCCACACCCACACACACACACACACACAGAGTATTGTTCATCAGTGTTTACTATAAGGATAGGCTTTCATGCTTACAGTATCATATTTCTGACTGGTACTTGTAACACTCAAGTCACAATAAAATTCATAACACAAACTGGGCATACAGGCTATGTCATCTATTTAGAGTGAACACAGGGACCTCAAAATGATAATTAAGTTTAAAATACAGCCTCATATGTGGCTGCGTATCATCTGTAAACATTTCAGTTAAACAAAGAGGAGACAACAACAATCTACAGCAAA